GGTTTTTCAAACAAAAATTGTCGAAATTTCATCCGCGCGCTCTTGCGGATTCGTAGGAAACCCAACACTTTTTAAGCATTTCTGTCAAACGGGCTTTTGCGAACAACTTTTTCGAACTTCTGCAACAACGGTTGTGCACCTGCCAGGGCCATCATCCCTGTCAAATAATACCATGCGGGACACATTCGTTTTTTCTTCGCGCGCGCACGCCGAAATCTTCAAAAACCACAGGTGTCCAGTGTTGGAACAGGGGGAAAAGTCGTATACTAAGCTAGCGTCCAGAAAATGTTACCACAACAAGTCACTGTACCCATGCGCCAGTGTAGTAGCACGGTCGTCCGCAGGCCACGAAGTGAAGTGTCCGAACGTCATAGGGCGGGAAGCTGGGTGTGGGTGGTGGCGAAGAGTCGTTTGGAAATGTGGTAGAGCTTGAACCGGCCCCCCACAAAGTGGGGGTATTGGCGGGCGTCGTATGAAAACCCTGGCACTGGTGAGAACGGAGTGTCCCCACGTGCTAGTAATTGTTGTTGTTGTTGTTGTTGTTGTTGTTGTTGTTGTTGTTGTTGTTGTTGTTGTTGTTGTTGTTGTTGTTGTTGTTGTGGTTGTGGTTGTGGTTGTTGTTGTTGTTGTTGTTGTTGTTGTCGTTGTCGTCGTCGTCGTCGTGGTCGGCCGGCCAGTCGGGCTGCCGCAGGACGGGCCGGCTTGCGCCAGGAGGGCCAGCCGCTCGGCGTGCGCTGCGTTGGCGCGCGGCGCCTGGGCGCTCGGCGTGCCGCGCTGCGCGGCGCGCGGCGGCTGCGCGCGCGCGCGGGCCGGCTCGCCTGGGCTTTGCGGGCAGTATTCGGTCGGTGGCGATAGGAGGCAATCTCTGGCTGGCAACGAGGAGACACGGCAGAGTGCTGCTCCTGAATTTGTCCGCTGGGCGGTGAAGGCGCACTTCGCCCCCTGGGAGCATCGCACGCAATCCTGCTAGGGGACCACATGCGAACCCTACCGCTGCCCCCCACGATTTCTGACGGGGGGGGTGGGTTTCACTTCGTTCGGGAGCTCCCGAACGAGGTGAACTCCACCTTCCCCCTCAGAAATGGTGGGGGGTAGGGGTAGGGTTCGCATGTGGCCCCCTAGGCGAGCGAGGGGGGGAAATGAGGAGCAAAAGGCCTTCTCGGAAGGCGGCGGGACTTCTCAGGGGTCCACGCGCCTCCTGAGAGGTTTTTGTCTGTCATCGGGGAAGGCTTGGGAAACTTCTCCTGAGGCCAGGGGGATTTCCGAGCCTTCAGAAAAGGCCCGCCCCTTCTCTTTCCCCCCTCGCTCGCCGCCGATTCATATTCATATCCACTGCGTCTTGGGCCTCCAGGGGCCAGATTTCCGTCCATATCCAGTGCGCCTCGGGTTTCTGAGGAAGGAGCCCGAGACTCCGAGCTGGAGTGGCGCTGGACACGAGTCTTGCCCGCAGGATTTTCTCGCCGCGTGAAAAAGGCGCTCTTCGAAGCCAGCGAGGTTTTTTTCTGCCCTCGGTGGGCGCGCGTCGCACAGGGGGTCCACAGGCAAAGACAGGCACATGCGTGGCCTCTTTTCGGGCACGTCTCGGGAACCCGCAGATCTGACTCTGCAAGGAGCAGTTGGCCTGGTGCACGCTGTGCCGCAAGCGCGGTGGCGAATTCCTTGCACGAGGCGCACGACGGCGAGAACTTCTGTTTGCTCCGATGTCAGCATCCCTGTCGGCACTGCTACTGGCTGTCATTTGTTCAGAGCTCTGTCGGCGTTTATATGCGTACTTGCTTCGCCACTCGTGCCGGCGTCGGCCAGTGCACGCGCAGTGCCGCACGCGGAGCATCACGTGCAGTCTCCCACGAGTGGTGTCGTCAGTTCACCCTCTGTTTCTGCTCCTGGCGACGTCGACACAGGCCGGGTTCAATGGAGGTTCTGTGTGTGGTATTGTTGGGACTATGAATCCACATCAAGTTCAATTCCAAGAGCTTATGGACAACTTAAACTCCTATATGGACGAGGCTCACTGTGCGGCCACAGGGTGAGGGTGAGCGGGGGTAGGACATGACATACTGATAAGCAGCAGGATTGGTAATAGGCGAGTGGTGGAGATGGTTCGATCCTGCGCAGAAGGAGCAATTGCAAAGAAGCTTTGCTACGCTGACTGGGGCGCGAAGTGACGCGAGTTATTCTGATGGGTGGTGTTGGTTAGCGCTCGGGTCAGTCAGCCTGCACTCGGGCAGCAGGGGGACAGGGATGACGAGAACGGGGTAGAGATAAGGGGAGGGACGCAGAGATGAGGGAGGAGGACAGGTCGGAGGGCAGTTTGGAGACATTTTCAATGCCTCTCTTTTTTTGTCGTATTCTATCTGGCGGTTTGCGCCCTCTTCCGGCAGTCTCCCAGGCAGAGCCACATCGCGGGGTGTTTCCTCAAACGTGGCCATGCCGAGGCCTCCCGGGGATATCCTGGGCCTCCGTGGGGGGCTGCCCAGGGGGCCTCTGGGACCTTCTTCGGCTCCTCACTGGAGCACCTGGAGCGCCGCCTTTTGGAATTGGCGGGCCATCCTTGGCGATCTTGGCTTCCTTTGGGGCCCTCTTCGGCCGTGTTGGGCTCTCGGAGTCCTCCTCGAAGCCTCTCGGGGCCGCCCTGGCGACCTCTCGGGTCCTGCCTGGAGGCGTTTTCATGGGAACTCTAAAGCAACCTGGAATGGCCAAGGGCTATTAACCACCCCAGTTGTTGTTTTTTGGGCGCTTCGGGCCGTCCTCGTCCACATCAGGCAGCAGAAAGGAGGCAGGACTGGACAGACAAGGGACTGTACATATCAGGCAGCAGAAAAGGGACCAGCGTCCTTCTGCCTCTCTATCTTTGGCTCTTTCCTTTCGTTTCTTGAGTTTGCTTTGTGTTTCTCCCCCTCTCTCTGTCTCTGTCTCTGTTACTGCCTCTGTCTCCGTCTCCGGCGCTCTTTCTCTCTCTGTCTATGCTTCTGCCTTTGCCTCTGCCTCTGCCTCTGTTTTCGGCTCCGTCTCTCTCTTTCTCTCTCCACACTTCCCGCCCTGGCCCGCTCCCGCTCGTTCGCCAGTGTTCCTTCACTCCTCCGCCCTCCTCCACCTCCTCGTTGTTCCTCCACCCAGCACTCCTAGCCTGCGCCGGGGGGGAAGCAGGGCGACACATGCAAAAGCGAGCCAGGGGCAGCTGAGGGCCGCGCCGACTGGGACGGCGCAGACGCTCGGCACAGCACGGCGCCCACGGCGAGTGCGTGTCTCGCCTGGCACCTGGGCCTCCGCGTGTTGTGGCGGAGTGGAAGCCGTCAAGTTCGCAGTCTTCGTACAGGGCCGTTTTTGATACGTGCTCCGCGTGCGGATCATGTATTCAAAATGCAGGGATTCAGTATCAAAAGCAGCGGTGCGTTCATGCAGAAATTATTTAGTCATACATTAATCATGTATTATACATCGTTTTTTTTTTTTTTTTTTTTTTTTTTTTTTTTTTTTTTTTTTTTTTTTTTTTTTTTTTTTTTTTTTTTTTTTTTTTTTTTTTTTTTTTTTTTTTTTTTTTTAATATATATATATATTATTATTAATCCTATGTATTAAAAAGACTGCCCTGTACTCCTTGCCTCCCCGTCGCCCGAAGTGCTGCGCGCTCCGAGCGCGCTCCGGCCGTCCCTATTGGCCCGCTCTCCCCCTCCCTCTCGCCCTCCCTCGCCGCCTCTGCGCACAGCTCGCTGCGCGGCAGCCCTGCCGTACATCGGGGGTGAACAGTGCCTTCTTTGGCGTTCCTTCTGGTAGTGCCTCGACTGTCGTCGGGCCTCCTCCGGGGGCGCGGCGGAGAGCTCCGTCGGGGTCTCCGACCGCCCCCAGGGGTGCCCTCGGGTGTACTGGTTGCAACCCAGGCCCTCTGCAAACCACCGCATTCGGAGTCGTCGACGCCCCCTCGCGTTTGTCGGGGGTAGACAGAACCCCCAACAGTGACACGTCGATTAGTGAATTGTCCGTTTTCGGTTCTCGAGAGGGCACCGTGGCCGTCATTCGCCAGGCTTGCGCCCGCCAGGTTTGGGCCTCAGGTCGTTTTCACGTATACCGCGTTTTACTAAGGGGGGGTCTGTCCATCCCCGAGTATAGCCACGACCGTACACCTTTGGCGATGCCTAAGGAAACTCAGGCTTTCGGCCAGAGTCTCGATGATTCTTAACGTTTCAGTGTGAATCCTAACATTTTGATCGAAGTTTTGGGTTTTATTCAAATTCTGAGGCTCTGAATTTCTGAACCCATGATTTCTTAAGCATCTCGCAGGGTGTAGCCTGAATCCGCGGTGCCGCCGATCGAGAAGTCTTCTCGCCGCACACCTTGGTGCCGCTCTCGGCTGCCCCCCTGCGCTACGGTCGGGCCGCTGAAGAAGGAGCCCTTGTCGTTGGGAAGGGGCACAGTGTTCCTGAGGCTCTCTTGTCGTTGGGAAGGTGTCGTTGGGAAGGTGTCGTTGGGAAGGAACCCTTGTTGTTGGGAAGGTGTTTTTGCAGTAGCTCTCTTGGGGTTTCCTGAGGCTTCCTGTGGGAAGTCGAAGTTGGACTTGTGGAAAAACATAGGGGCCTCGTTCCCTATTCAGGGTTCCTCATGGCAGCGGTTCGACCTCCGCATCCACTCTTGTCCTTCGGTCGCCGAAGGCCCGCCCGTGCCCGTGCTGGCTGCTCGAGCACCTCTGCGCCCGCTACCCGCACGGGGCCACATCCCGATTCCGCGCTTGTCGGGCGCCCTCCCCTTCGCGCGGAATGTGATTATTGCAGCAGCGGAGCTAGAAATCACCGCCCACCAAACCACCCCAACCCAACCCGAAGGCCCCAATTTGCCCTCCATTTCCAGTTTGGGGGGGTCGGGGAACGTCGAGAAAACACACATGAAGCCCGTACCCCCCCCAACCCGAAATTCGGGTCTTCGGGTTGGGTTGGGGTGGCTTGGTAGGTAGTCAAGAAAGGAGAACATCCATAATTCGAAGAAGAAACAAACACATACACATAAGCTTTTGGCGCTCCGTGCGGATTTCTTGGATCCGCGCCTGGACCCCCCGGCGGCGCCTCCAGCGCCGCCCCTGGCGCGCTCCGCGCGCCAGGGAGGGGGCCCAGCGCGAATCCAAGAAATTCGCGCTGAGCGCTAAAAGTTTATGTTTATGTGTTTTTTCTTCTTCTAATAACGAGAGCTCGGGAAGTAGTTCTTGGTGCAGCGAGCAGGACAACCTCCGCTGTACAGCCTGCTGTCCCCCAAGGGGGCTGGCGGATTGTCGGGCCCGTAGAAGACAGATTCCGCAAGCCTGGACCTACGGGTCTGAACTAGAACCGTCGAGGCTGCTCTGATACAGCGACGTCGTTTGTTGGGCAGCAGATCGCGCATGCCAAATGCACTACCTTGTCGCTCCGTGGGCACACCCTGCTTGACCTGGGCGTGCACCGAGAGCATTGAGGTCTCCTGGCGTAGCTAGGGCAACGTTAGAGACAGCCCTGAGAACAACACGCTGCAACAGCACTTTCAACGGGAGTTCTTCTTCGATCGGGGACGTGTTCTGCCACAATGCTTCGGGTGCCTCGCCTTCATTCGCCCTCCTGTGCACGCGCGGCACGCGCTCGCAACCCGCAGCTGGGCGTTCCCAGAAAGACGAAGTGGAAGATCCGCAGCTACCTGCACGAGGCGGTCCAGCCTGCCCTGCCATACGGTTTCAACGGGAGTCTCGTATCGCAGTGGCGCTCAGGAGCAGGAGGAGGAGGGGGACAGGATCAGCGGTAGGGGGAGGAGGGGGAGGAGGAGGATGAGGATGGGGCGATGACGAAATGATGATGATGATGATGATGATGATGATGATGATGATGATGATGATGATGATGATGATGATGATGATGATGATGACATCGCGCCCACTCCCGCACCCCCTCCTCTCTGTTACCGTTGCCCGCTCCTCTGGTTAAGTCTGATGCATGCTCGTGATGGTGGTCATGGAGGGGGTGATGGATGACGATGGTGGTAACGATTGTTATGATGGTTGTAAAGATGTTGATGCTGGTGGTCATGATGGCAGTGTTGCTGAGTGTTGCTGCTGCTGATGATAATGATGATGACGTTGACGACAACGGCGGCGGCGACGACGACAACGACGATGCTGATGACTATGATGATACTGCTGATGATGCTGATGATGCTGATGATGACGACAACGATGCTGATGCTGATGATGATGCTGCTGATGATGATGATATTGATGTTGTTGACGATGATGGGGATGATGATGATGCTGAGTATGATGCTGATGGTGATGGAGACGATGATGATGCTGATGATAAGCACAATGATGATGATGATGCTGATGATCGTGGAAGCAATCATGATGATGGTGCTTGTGATGGTGATGGCGACAGGGATGATGATGATGATGATGATGATGATGATGATGATGATGCTGGTGATGGTGTTGGTGGTGATGGTGATGCTGTTGATGATGAACATGCTGGTGCTGATGATGATGGTTTTTTATCGTTTATGATGATGCTGCTGCTGTCGCTGTTTCTGCTGCGGATGCAGACGGACGACGATGACGATGATATGATGATGCTGACGATGATGATGATGATGCTGATGATGATGATGATGATGGCGATGGGTATGGTGATGGTGATGGTATGATGATGCTGATGATGTTGATGCTGCTGCTGCTTATGATGATGATGGTGGTGATGATGATGATGATGATGGAGACCATGAGGAGACTGCTGATGCTGCTGATGATGATGACAATGACGATTCTGATGATGATGATGATGATGCTGATCATGATGATGATCATGATGATGATGATGATGTTGATGATGATAATAATGATGCTGATGATGCTGATGATGATGGTGATGGCGGTGATGATGCTGTTGTTCATGATAATGATGATGCTGCCGCTGATGCCAGTGACGATGGTGACGATGCTGATGATGATGCCAATTATGATGCTGCTGATGATTATGATGATGCTGATTCTGATGATAATGATGATGCTTTGTATCGTTTATGATGATGATGTTTCTGCTGTGGATGCAGACGGGCGACGATGATGACATGTTATGATGATGTTGATGATGATGGTGATGGTGATGGTGATGCTGAGGATGTTGATGCTGCTGATGACGATGCTGGTGATGACGATGATGGGTAGGATGAGAATGCTGCTGATGCTGCTGATGAGGATGACACTGACGATGATGATGATAATGATAAGGATGATGATGCTGATGATGATGGTAATTGTGGTGATGCTGCTATTGTTCATGATACTGATACTTTTGCTGCTGATGCTGGTGACGATGGTGATGATGCTGATGATGCTGCTGACGATGCTGATGATGACGACGATGTTAATGGCAGTGATGATGCTGCTGATGATGCTGATGATGATGAGTCTGATGATGATGATGGTTGGTGACGATGGTACTGGTGATGACGATGGCATGCATTGAAATTATCGATACGTCGATGATTATGCTGCTGATGACGACGATGATGATGCTCATGCTGCTGGTGATGCTGATGCTGATTATGATGATGATGATGATGATGCTGATGACGATGGTGATGCTGATGATGTTGATGATGATGGTGGTAGTGGTGATGCTGATCATGATGATGGTAATGTTTTTACCGTTTATGATGATGTTGCTGCGGTCGCTGTTCCTTCTGCGGATGCAGACGGACGACGGTGATGATGATATGATATGATATGATATGATATGATATGATATGATATGATATGATATGATGATGATGATGATGCTGATGATGGTGATGGTGATGGCGATGGTGATGCTGATGATGTTGACGCTGCTGATGATGATGATGGTGATGATGATGATGATGGAGAGGATGATGATGCTGCTGATGCTGCTGATGAAGATGATAATGACGATGATGATGCTGATGCTGATGCTGATGATAATAATGATGCTGATGCTGATGCTGATGATGATGGTGTTGACGATGGTGATGATGCTGATGATGCTGGTGACGATGCTGCTGATGATCACGACGACGATACTGACAATTATGATGCTGCTGATGATGGTGATGATGCTGATGATGATGGATGGTGATGATGATACTGGTGATGACGATGGCATAATTTGTATTATTAACAAGTCGATGACGGTGCTGCTGCTGATGACGATGATGATGATGATGCTCATGCTGCTGATGATGCTGATGCTGCTGATGATGCTGCTGATGATGACGGTGATAATGATGACGATTCTCATGATGTTGATGATTATGATGATGCTGATGCTGATGCTGCTGATGATGCTGATGATGCTGATGATGCTGCTGATGATGATGATGATGATGAGACTGATGATGATGATGATGATGATGATGATGATGATGATGATGATGATGATGATGATGATGATGATCAGGAGGAGGAGGAGTAGGTTTTGGAGAACTGATGATGAGGAAAGCAGCTGTAGCCAGGAGGAGCATGAGGGAGCAACGTTCGCACACGGACAAGCTTGGAAACAGGTCGCTGGGAGGATTGAGACATGAGGAAGTCGGGAATGAGAAGGAGGAACAGACATAGAGCAGAGAGGGCTGACGAGGAGACGGGAGAAAGGGAAGGGAGGATTGGTGGACGCAGTGAGACAGGTAAAATCAGGCAACGGTGATGGAGTGGAGTCGAAGGTCAGCTTTTGGTTTCTCATTGCTGATAGATGGACGGAGGAAGAACAGGAGAAGGAGGAGGGTAGAGGAGGAACAGGAGGAGGAGGAGAAGGAGGAGGACGAGGCGGGAGGTTGGAGGAGAATAACGAGGGAGGGTCGAGTAGACGGATTGTGCGACACATCTGGGTGGTGTCCACATCCCTGGTCTGCGTGAGGTGTGGCTGCCTTGGCGTGATGAAGCTTGCCGCGAGGGAGGATCAGGGACCCCCCAAAACCGTGCAGTGACCGGCCATGCAGTGGCCTCGAAATTCCAAGCTACCTCACCGCGCAGTCCGTCACCGCACGGTCTTGGGACCTCGGAGGCCACGGTTGCCCAAGACGTTCTTGGAGAACGACACGAGTCTCATACCCGTGCCTTGGCATCGCTCGGACGTGTGGATTTTTCCTTCGGCGAGGACCATCGAGGAGCATCCTTGATCATTTGGCGAAAAACCGCGCACGAAACCGAAAAAAACACAGGGAATGGACGTCCGAGCGATGGCCAGGTGCGGTGACCCCGACTCACCACTGATTCGCCACGCGGTGTGGTCACCACACCGTCGGCGCAGGCGAAGAGCGTCTCGCGGTTGCAGGCCGAGAGCAGGAGGGTCTTCGACTTGCTGTCGCCGAGCCTGCAGGCGGTCGCCCAGTCCGAGGGGGGAGGAGGGAGGGAGGAGGAGGCAGGGAGGGAAGGAGGGAGGGAGGAGGGAGGGAGGAGGAGGAGGAGGAGGAGGAGGAAGAGGAGGAGGAGGAGGAGGAGCAGGAGGAGGAGCAGGAGGAGAAGGAGAGGAGGAGGAGGAGGAGGAGGAGGGAGGAGGAAACATACTGATGATCATGATAATGAGGAGGAAGAGCAGGAGGAGGAGGAATAACTGGGGGGATGATAGGGGATGAAGATGAGGATGATGCGGATGCGGATCATGCTGATACTGCTGCTGATGATGTTGGTGATACTGTTGGTGTGATGGTATTGTTGTTGTTGTTGCCGCTGTTGCTGCTGCTGCTGTTGTTGTTGGTGGTGTTGTCGTTGATGTTATTGTTGTTGCTGTGGTTGTCGTCGTTGTTGTTGTTGTTGATGTTGTCGCCTTGGTTCTTGTTGTTCTTGCTCTTGTCCTTGCTGTTGCTGTTGCTGTTGTTGTCGTCGTCGTTGTTGTCGTTGTTGTTGTTCCCCATATCCTAAGATGGGGTTCTTGTTATTACTTGGACGCCTCCTACTGCCTCTCCCTCCTCCTCTTTCCTCCTCCCCTCCTCATACTCAGACTTACTCATACTCAGACTTACTCATACTCAGACCTACTCA